AAGAAAGGGAAGCGTGCTCATTCTTCGACGAGTTCAAGTGGTACAACAGTAAGCTCGCACAACGAACTTGCTATGTACCAGGGTGTGCCATGCGATTACGATGAAGACGAAGTGGATTTTGACGTGCTCGGATGGTGGAAGCGGAATGAACACATGTTCCCATGTCTCGACATGCTAGCAAGACAAGTGTTATCCGTTCCGGTATCAACCGTAGCTGTTGAACGAGAATTCAGTGCTGGCGGCAACATTCTAACCGACTTTCGAAGTTGTCTTAGCGCTGAATCTCTTGAAACACTTGTTTGCAACAAAGATTGGCTCTTGGCAAGACGTCGAGCTCAAGAGTCAACGTACCAACTCGAATCGGAGCATTACATGAATGCAACAACAGATGGAAGTCCGAGTTCTGAAGAATAAGTTATAATTTTTTTTGTTAATGTAAATATGTAATTAGTTTTTTTAGCTGAGCGATATATAAGCTCCTTCGAGGGTTTCTTTACGGTTCTTTACCTCGTCGCTTTTTTTGAACCGTCAGGATATTAAATGTGGTTGTTCTTTAGTTAGTGTATTATTCATTTAAAATATTTAAATAACAACTACATTTTTAGATAACTACATTCCGGTACTTCATTCTTTCCTTAAACAATTGCAAATTTAAAATTTTATACTTAAAAGTTTTAAAAAAAGCAAAAAAAATAAATAAATAGGGGGGGTGAAACCGGCCGGTCCGGTACCGGAACCGCCGGTCCGGGAACCGGAACCGGTACCAGCTGGCACGGTGACGGTTCCAGTGACATGGGGTGGCGGTACCGGAACCGGCGGTTCCGGAACCGTACCCCTAATTAAGGCACGGTGACAAATTAACACTTTTGAGACGAATATTTCTCCGTATTGGTTATCCATCCACTAGAGATGATTTCTAGACCCGTTTCAAGACTCGGGTCAATCTTCTCCCGATTTGGGCGATTCCCCACCACCCGAAGCGCCTCGACCAAACCCCGGATTTCACAGTTCCAACCTCTCGCCCGTTACCCCGGACCGACGCCCTCCCCGGCCGTCGTACGCGGCGGAGCTAAGTTTTCAACGATGGCAAGCGGCCGAGAGGACGATGCAAAAGTTGTTCAGTTCCAGCTGAAGCCTTCCACTCTGCTGAAGATTCGCATCGGTGACATCACTAAGTGGTCCGTTGATGGATCTTCCGACGCCATTGTAATCCATCTCTCCCTCGCGTATAATTCTGTTTCGTTTCTTCATCATTTTTGTTATGATTCTCTTTTCCCTAAAAAAATTGCATGTGTTTATGATGGATGGATTCAAAATGGTGGTTGGTTTGTATAGAGCTAATACAAGATATGAAGAATGAAATTAGGGTTAACATATTCTTTAAAGGAAAAAATTATGTTTGGTACAATGATTTTGAAGAATAGAAACTGGTGTAGAAAAACACTTTTTTCTTGTTTGGTTAGTGAGGAAAATAAAAGAAGAGTGGAAGGAAAAGAAGATTAGAAGAAAAAATAAGTTAAGACAAGAGAAAACAAAATTTCTCTAGGGGAAAAAGCTTCTTATTTTCCTTTCCCCATTCCTAGTTTCTTGAACCATGTTAAACAAACATCAATCTTACATGCCTACACCTTTTAGCAAATTCAAACTGTGAACCTCATTATTACGAAGTAGTATGGACTATTTCAGTGTAATCTATAAAGGTGATTTTTTTCTCTGAAGGTAAATCCTGCTAATGAGCAAATGCTTGGGGGTTATGGTGCTGATGGAGGTAGAATTTAGACTGTATTGTTTCCATTATAGTTTTTTGTGTATGCTTACCCTATATATGGTTAAGGAATTCAAAAAGGTAAAGAAAAGAAAATGGTTAGGATTTAGGAAAATCAATTTTTTTCTTAGTTATTAGGAAAATCAGTTTTGGTTACAAAGGAAAAGAAAAATGAAGGAAAATATAAAGTAGAATTGGAAATTATATTTTCCTTCTATTTTGTGAGAAAAGGAGAGAAAACCGCAAACTCCTCCCCCCTTCCCCCCTCCGTCATCCCCACCCACCCCAGCCCTCCCCTATCTTTGAACAATATCTTCTTTCATTTCTCTACAACAACCAAACATAGAAATTAAAAAAACATTTTTCTCACCAATATCATTACAAACTAAATACTGATAAAGACTTCTGTTTTTTTTACTTTCTTTTCCTTTCAAGTATTCATTTTCCTTTCTTCCATAATTTTCCGAACCAAACATAGTGTTGAAGTTTTGGATACTAAATAAATACTGTTATGTTTTCTAGCCATACATAAAGCTGCTGGTCCTGAACTGAGAGAAGCATGCTTTAAAGTCCCACAAGTTAGTCCTACTATTCGATGTCCCACTGGCGAAGCAAGAATTACACCGTATGTTATAATCAATCTTTTCTTCTCATTTAATATCAAAGCCAATTTTTATACTCACTGAGCATTTTTTTACTGTGTTTGTTTTAAGGTACTCTGGTATATGGAGTAATTAATATACTTTGCTGAATTGTGTGAAATGCAGAGGATTTAGATTGCCAGCCTCTCATGTGATTCATACTGTTGGACCTATTTATTATAAACACCCTGATCCTAAAACCGCACTGGAAAGTTCATATAGGTAATGTTTTCACGTTCTCATGTTGTAGTACAATTACTTATAAAGCATTAATGTGTATCAGATTTATTTTTGGCTTAAAATAAGCTTCGATTACCAATGTAGCTAAAAGATTCATTATTGACAATGCTTTAGTTTGGGTACAGAATGGAGTAATTCAAAATGGAAGATTAAACTTCCATTTGATTCTTACTTTCAGTGAAATTTTGGACAGTAAATGCAACAATGCATATAGTGTAATGGGGTCTAATGGAAACATTCTCTCTATTTTTAAAGTAACATCGCGCACATCTTGATCCCTAGACACCAACAGAGTTGGGATTATATTAGGTTGTTGTTTACAATAAGTTGTTAATACGTTATGGAACATTTGTTACTTGGGCAAATTACACAATTAGCTATGCTTGTTCAAAGTGGATTTTTTTTGTGTGTGTGTGTGTGGAGGAGAACAGTGTTGAAACAAGTTTTTTTGGGAAGGTGGGAGTGCTTTTGTAGTACATGCCATAGCCATATTGTTCCCTGTAAAATTCATGCTTTTTAAATGTGTGTTTTCCTACACCTTGTTACAGGAACTGCTTGCGGGTTGCTAAAGAAAATGGCATCCAGTATATCGCCTTTACTGCCATATCTTGTGGTGTCTATGGGTGAGTTTTTATCAACGTACTCACAAAATATTATATTTTGTTGTGTTTCTTGGATTCATTTTGTGAATCAAAGTAATTTGTAGAGTTTCATTGAGATCATTGAAAACTCAAAGTCTTTTTACTCCATCCATCCCTTAAAAACTTTGGATAACTGTTTACGATGTTTACAAGACCCCTATGTTTAAAACATAGAGCGGCGATGAGCGTCGAAAGTTGCATTGACTAACTGCTAATTCACAATTGCAATTTGCAAGAAGCGCAAACAGTTTGAAGAAGTAATTTGCTTTATTCCATCATACCCCAAAGCCAAAAAATAGTGAATCTTTGGCTCCACATGGGAATGTTTACGATGTTTGACCAAAGTTATTTTCCATTCAATTCATTTAATAACTTATGTAAATTTTTTTAATTAAAAATTATATATTTAAAGACTTCATCAATAATTCTACAAAACAAGATGTGACATGACTTTATTTATTTTAAAACATTGGACTGTAAATGATGAAGCCGTTTTAAATTAATAATTATCTATCCCAAGTCTGGGTTTTTGCATGGTAGATTTAGAGGAACTACACCTTCACTTCGTAAAAAAAAGTATTGTTTCGTCATGGTACAAATTTTTTAAATTTTGGTAAGCTACAACCCATGCTTATGTTTTCAAATTAAAATTTTGCTAAGCTAAATATTACATTCTAGTCCTGAACATTTTCTTTTTGAAAAAACTAAGTACATTCGATTCCATGAAATGACTTGTTTTTCTAACTTAAGTTTTGAAACAAGACTGTCTTTTTTGGACCAAGGGCGAATTGGTTATGTACTCCTCGGTCCCAAAACGAAGGTAATTTGGGAGCTTGAGCTAAGCCATGAGCCTGTGACCATTAATTTCTCTGGAGAATAAAGTAAAAAAAACTTCTCCGTGATTTTTATATTGTTATACTGTATTTGTGACGAATGTAGTTTCATGATTTGTTAAGTTTATGCTTTGTGACGACCTATTTCAAGGGAAAATAACAATCAAAAGTTTAGCATGATTTATTGTAGACTCAACATTTTGGGACGGAGAGAGAGTTGTTTTCTAATTATTCTGTGTAGCATATTGACATTGCAGACTTGGGGATCACCTGGGCATGAAATATAAGGGAAAATATCTGCAAAATTTGTTTTTTGAACTGATTTGTCTCTTTCCACGAATTAACTCAGGTATCCATTTGATGAGGCTGCAAATGTGGCCATATCTACAGTTAAAGCACACTGTGATGATCTCAGAGAGGTATTTTATACTAAGATAAAAAGATTATGTGGTTTTAAATCCAATCTAACCCTCACATGTAACGTAAGTATATAATGCGACGAACCAAATTGTGTCCGAATTTGTTCCAAAACGTAATGCCTTTTTTTTTCTTCTGCAGATTCATTTTGTTCTCTTCGCGGATGACATTTATGATGCTTGGCTCAAGGCAGCAGATGAGCTTCTGCATGAAGAAGAGATGAGAAGATAGATTTCTGCTCCAGATGACATTTGTTATAGGGTGGGGATTCGAAAAATCTTTTGTTGGCCCCTTCTTTGCTAGTTCCTTCTCTGCACGCTTCTCTTCCCAGTATTTAATCATATCTTTCAGTGCCTTCAACTTCTCTACACTTCTCATCCCAAGCCCAGCCTCTTTTCCTCTTTCGAATAGAGTTTATCGAAATTTACACAACAAAGTAGATGCAATGTATTTTTGAGAGAATGCAAATCCCCGATCCAACATTTTTGAAAATTGATATCCATATTCGGAGTATCAAAATGTATACACTCTGTTCCACAATATGCAACCCATCCCTCGGACAGCTTATCCCAACTACTGATTTTAACCAAAATGCTGATTCTTTTGATTTTGCTTTTGATCTTGTTCATTGTTGGGATAAGCTGATGGTAGTATTGCATATTGTGGAACAAGGTGTATGGATTTTGATACTCCGGACATGGATATTAATTTTCAAAAATGTTGGAACAGAGATTTACATTATCTCAAAAATATATGGGGTCTATTTTGTTGTGTGAATTTCGATAAACTCTATTCGGAAGAGGAAAAGAGGCTTAGACTTAGGATGGGAAGTGCAGAGATGTTGAAGAAGCTGAAAGATATGATTACATATTGGGAAGGGATGGAACTAGCAGAGAAAGGGCCACGGATATGAGCTTGTGAGAAGGGGCCCAACTTTGTGTAGTTTTAAAGTGGGGATTAGAAAGATTCTAAGTAATGGATCTCTTTGACTTTGTATTAAGGTTGATTTGTTGAAGTTTATGCTTTCCGATTTTTATATTGTTTTCATTATTTATTTAATTTTTTTAAAAAATAAATATGTACTCCGTATAACATACTACCTCCGTCCCATTTTATAACTCCTGTTTCAGTTTACGATGTTTGACTGAAATTATTTTCAAATCATTTTATATGACAAATGCTATAAAATTAAAAAATAAAAATTACATTTTAAAAAACTACATCAAAAGATTTACAAAACTAGTAGTGACAATAAAATTTTATTTTATCAAATTGCTAACAAAAATAGAGAAAAAAAGTGAATGAAGTTTGACCCTGTGAATAGTAAATAAGCACTATAATTTGGGACGGAGGGAGTATAATACTTCCTCCCGCTCTAAAAGGATTTCCTTTATTGACTTTTTGGAAATTAAGAGAGATATTTTTGTGTTGACTTTTGAAAAATACCCTTGATTGAAAACTAAGATATGATGGATAAATTATTAGTAAAAAGTATGATGTGATAGATAAAGTATGAAAAAGTAAGAGATAAAAGTAGTTTTTTCAATAGATAAGGAAGCATTTTTTTGGGATAACAAAAAAATGAAAGGGAAAGACCTTTTAGGGACGGGGGAAGTACAAGTGTGTGTGTGTGTGAGAGAAAAAAACGTGTACAAGTACTCACAAAATATTGTCATTTCATGATCGGTGAGGTTCTAGTGACACCAGAGTACGGTGCCACTAGCAGTGCCACTGGCATTTTGGGGCACCTCCGGTGCTCCGTTCGCAAAATTGACGGTTCCTACCCCCTTTAACTCACCCCCTAAACCCCCCACCCTACCCCCGCCCCTGCACATATTAATTGGGCACTTTTGAAAAAATATAATTCTTGAAAATAACCAATTATAAATTCAATAAGTATTTTGTTGTGCTTATATTTTTTTAATTTATAAGTCAGTTTATGACACATTTCTTTATACTTATAAAGTGACTTACTTATAAATTACTGTAACTTTTAAGCTAATAAATATATCTTGCCTACTTATTTTTAATTTAGTTTTTTCATCTTTTCGTTCTTAACAAATTATTTAAAAAACTATCCTTCACTACTTATAAATATTCTCAAATAACTTATTTATCATTTAAATCATTTTACTATCGCAATAGAATATTTAATTTCTAAGCAACTTATAAATTTAGAACAATTTATCATAAATAAAGCAATAAACACTAACACAGAGAAACACCCCTAAATTAAACAAACTAAGAAGGGCCCTATGACCTCTGATATTTGCTGTTCCAAAATTTTAAAGCACATACTTTGTACTCCGTATTAAGTATCCATCACTATGTATAGAGGGTACGATCATCTAAACAAATTTTTTCAAAGCACTTTCAAATTTTCAACATTTTTCTTAAACTCTGTGAAGTCAAACGAGGACTATAATTCATGAGACGGAGGGTCTGAGGGTGTAAAAAATGTTCAGTGGTGCCTACATTGTTAATTGTTATATACATTGTGCAAGTGCATTTCCACTCAGTAATGACAAAGAAAGGATCTAAGAGATACATTTGGAGCATGAAATTTAGAGATCTTTGTCCTTGGCTATGTTCTGAGGCAATCTGCTAAGGCTCTCATCCACAACCTTATATTGTCTAGAGAAATGTCCATCTATTTGATTTTCAAATCTGTTGTACAATGCAGGGAAGATGATGGATATGACAGTTCCTGCATTAACCAGGGTGAAAAGAAAGTAAATCAGTGGCAAATCATACAAGTGAAACATCTATTATCAAGTGAAATACAAATAACATCAGTCGAATACCACAGAAGTAGGATCTGGGAGTTGTGTTTGTAGTTTGTACGCACACCTTACCCCTACTTGGAAGAAAAGCTGTTTCCATGAGACCCCGACACAAAAAGCATAGATAGAGTAAACAACTAAGCACATATTAAAGAAGCACACATACTGACACTAGTAACTAGACCCAAAGCACGAGCATGAAATGAAGCGACTTATAAAATTAGGAGGTAATTGAAGTCCTGCCTAGAAAACACCAGGGAAGAGTAAGTATGAGCCCTCGAGATAATCAGTTAAGACAATAAGCCCTTAAATAGTTGGAAGATTTGCAAGGTAGGTGGCGAGAAAGGGTGATATCTATTTTAGTCTTTCTTATATTAAGGGCTCGTTTGGTAAGACAAATGTGCAAGTACTAGTATATATTGGGGGAAGAACTAGTACGAGCCCCTGGAATAAGGTAGACAATAAGCTCCATTCGGTGGTCACTAATTCTGCATAATACATATAATGCTTATAAACAAAATAAGTGCAATAAATAGCCTTTAACTTCACCTATTTGACTGAAATAGATGCTACCAAACTGTTTAAAAAAAGATGCTACCAAACTATTTTCCTTGCCAAATAAGGAGTACCTTTCTTTCAATAAAAGTCAGCCATTTCAAGCCAAATGACTAATACTAAATAGGCCATAAGAATAGGTCAGTCAGGGATAAAGCATCCAAGTACCTATATATGTGACTGTGAAGAAAGATACCACACTGCCTATGGCAGATAGAAACCAGAGAAAAATCACCACCTGCACATTAAACAAAAAATTATATGTACAGTTTAATATTTGTAAGTTAATCGGGCAGCATTCATCAAGCACATAAAATGCAAAATAAGGCTCCATTTGGTAGTCTTATCTGGCTTGTGAATATATATCTTTTGAATTAGTTGGCTAGTAGTTATTTACTTTCTTATATGGCTGAAACGAGTCTGACCAAATGTTTTTATGCCTCTTCCTTCACATACAACTCAGCAGAACCAGTTTTTTTAATACATATTAACCTAACCCAAACAGAATGTTTCCTCTTCAAATATAAAACCCTTAACAAACATCCCCTAATTCATGGAAACTATTTGTAGCGGGCAGTATCACATGTATTATATAGTGAGTAGCACCTTCCCCCCCACCTTAAAAAAGAGTTTGAAATCTTTCCCAAGAGTGATATCATGAGCCATAAGTAACATATAGTTGATTTTAGCACGGAATGAGGCAGCAGCATTGTTGACCATTTCTTCAGTCAAGACTAACTCTGGCAATGTTTGAAGTTGTCTGTGAAATGACACGGGAAAGTCTCATTTTTGTTGCATAATGGTGATAATGGAACTGCTTAACATCAAACTTACACATGTAAAATAGTAAGGGACCGTACTTCCTTTTGAAGGCAGCAAAGTTTGCACGGACAAAGAGGAGTACTATCAAGATGAGAAAGACATCAGAACAGACTGATAAGAAAGGCAATCCCGAGTGTTCAAACAACACCCATACAGCAGTAGCAACAAGGATCATGCCAAACATGGTACGCCACTGCCTCCAAATAACTACTTCTGCATCTTAATGCAGAGTGAAAAAAGCATCAACGGCATTATTGCAGAGTTAAAGAAGGCATGAGACAATATTTTGCAAGTAGAAGGTGAGAAGATACTAATTTTAAAGGCAATCAATTGATTGAAGATCATTTTGATGCATAAAACGTTTCGATGATATGACGGCTCTGGCATAAAGTGCTTGTTTTAGTAAAATTGTGGTTGAATGTTCTGAATCATCTTTAAAGTGTGTTGTTTAAAAAATATAATAAAATGATACCAAGAATATGGGGGCAGAGGGCCATTTATGATTTTATCTTCATTCCAACACCCAAATAAGTAACTTCTTCATGACTTAAAATTATTATTATGATTATTATGATTATTATTATTATTATTATTATTATTATTATTATTATTATTATTATTGGTGGCGATTTAATCTAATGCAGTCAAATAAGTTAATGTTTAGGGGGGAAATGTGATTGTTAAAGGCTTATAAGACAAAAAAAGAGTTTGAGAACAGGCACGAAGATTAATTATTGCAGCTTCATTCACCGAAACACATAAACAGCATCCCATAACATAGATATAGTGATGCTCTGCTCCACCCCCTTAGCTCATTGAGCCGATAAAAGTGCACAAATGCTAGGTAAAAAAACTAGGGATGGAAATAGGGGAAATTTAGAATAACAATTGTAGGGAAACAACAAGTTGATTCAGATATCAATGTATAAAAGCATAAAAGCTTTTGATCAAACGTATATTTTCCTTATTAAATCCAAACATCAACCACTACAATTTTCCTTTTCATCTCCTTATCTTTTCCCTACCATTTTCCATGTTCCAAAGGTAGCCTGAGAAAATTACTCAGCTCGGAGAACCTTTCCAATTACCGGAAAAAGGTTGATCAACATAAAACATCAAGTTCATCCAAGCATTAATGCAAATATGCTTGGATAATACTGAGAATATTAAAAATCTCCCTAAATAACACAATCCATCAATTAGTAATTATTATTTTAAATAAAACATGTGATAATTCATTGTCAACAATGAAATGGAGCTCGCAGGTTTACCTTTACCACCGCCGGTCACGAGCTGATTAGGGGACTGCCGGCCGATCGCGAGAGAAGAGCTCGCTCCATGCCCCGTTGAAGCCGCCGGAACGCCGCCGGAGCTACTATTATTCGCTCTGGAATCTCCATCTCCCAAGTTGTTGCACAGATCTTCAGAAGTCTCCATCTGAGTTTCTCTGCCGAAAATTATCCATCAAAATTCACATCAGAATTGGTAAAAATCACTTAACAAGGAAGCAATGCACCAAATACCTAATCAATCATGAAAGATCAATTTTATTCAATTTTTGTATCTTGAAGTTATGGAAAGTTAATTATGCCTTCGCACTCGATCAATGTAAAGTTGAAAATGTATTTGGAGCTTGCACACCAAATTGGACTCCACCCCAATTATTCCTATCCTTCCGAAAATATTTTTTTTTTGACGTTTCAATAAAATATTTTTCATTAACCTTATTTTTCCATTGGCTTGACACCAATTTTCTTGTCTCATTTGGCTTGAGAATAAATGATTTTGGTGTATCCCACTCTCATCACCCTTTTTTTTTTGAATTTCGTGCTAATTTATATAGACAAGGAAGGGGTGGGGGACATATGGGATACACCTTTGTTGTATTTCTAGCATTTTTTTTATCAAAGTAGATTTTATAATTCTTGTTTTGTGTAATAATCCATAATTTTTTAATAAAATAAAATTTGTATAAATATTGCAAGTGTGGAAGGAAAGAAATGATGACAATCCCTTGACTTTTTTCTTAAGGAAAGAAAAAAAATTAGACTTACTTAAAAAATAAAGTAGTCAATAGCATAATGAGATGGGACAAGAAATTTATTTTATATTAACAAATTTTAATCTTTTTTTAGTTTTGAACTTCCTAAAAATCAGATTTTTATACTCTATCCGTCCACAAATAAACTTTACGTTCATTATTCACTTGGTCAAACTTTATTCACTTTGTTGGCCTATTTTCGTAACTCATTTGATAAATAATATAATCATATCACCTCTAGTTTTGTAGATCTTTTGATATAGTTTTTTAATATGTAATTTTTATTTTTCAATTCTATACCATTTTAAATATAAAATGATTTGAAAATAACTTCAGTCAAACATCATAACGCGCAATATAAAGTTTATTTGTGGATGGAGGGAGTAATTTTTAGAAGGGAAGAAAGAATTAGTGCTTCCACTTTCAAGATAGAGTTAATATTTGAGTTTTAATAAAATAAAATTTGTATAAATATTGCAAGTGTGGAAGGAAAAAAATGATGACAATCCCTTGACTTTTTTCTTAAGGAAAGAAAAAAAATTAGACTTACTTAAAAAATAAAGTAGTCAATAGTATAATGAGATGGGACAAGAAATTTATTTTATATTAACAAATTTTAATCTTTTTTTAGTTTTGAACTTCATAAAAATCAAATTTTTATAATTTTTAGAAAGGAAGAAAGAATTAGTGCTTCCACTTTCAAGATAGAGTTAATATTTGAATTTTACAATCCAACTTCATTAAGTTTGACTATTGATTATTCACATATCATAAAATTTAATGGAGTATAATATTGCGTGCAAAATTAATTTTTAAAAATTATATTTTCATACAATGTAATAGTATAATGTGTGACCCAAACTTATAAAGTTTGACTGTAAAAAATCAAAATACCACTTTTATTTTTAAAAACTTAAGAAGTACGAATATAATTGTTGTTATTTTGGACTTAACTCATTTTTTTAGAATACCATCCTAATTCCAAAAAGAGCAATACTCCCAAAATGTGTAAAATAAATTTTAGTTTTTTCACATTTTCTTTTAGAATCTTTTTTCATAATGAATATAAATATCATTTATTCATATATATTCTAGAATCTTGTGCTCCCTACTTCTTTCTCTCACACTCCACAAATTTCAATTATTTCTATACATTTTAGAATCTTTTTATCCTAATCAAAAACTAAAAATTATGTTCAAAATCAGAGTCAAAACTCAAATTTCAACAGTAAAGCATTAAACAAAATGTCTTAGTCAATTAGGTATTTTGAGTGCAATGGAGTTTAAGTCACCAACTAATTGTGAGTATAAATATTTGATTAGAGAGATGGAGTAGTAGCAGATAAGCACACAAAATCATAACCGATTTGTTTCTGTTTTTTAAAATGGATCACAATCCCAGCGACTGGAGAGGCGAGTTCGTTTGATGGCGCCAAAATTCTCACGCGCAACTCGGAGACTGTGATCCACTCCCCGGATTTTCCTGCTGTTTAAAGCGATCGCACGCTCCCCCGCCTTCGGCGGCGATTGAAGACGCCGAGCGCGTGACTTCTCCGTCTCCGTTCTAAATTTTTAATGCGAAATTGTTCTCGGCCATTATCAATTCATTCATGTGCGGCTTGCTGGATTCGCGCACCGAACTGTAAGTAGGTGACTTAACCTCCACCTTATCGCGTTTTTTCCCTAGTCTGGCAATTTCTGCGAATTCGTATATATATATACGGAAGGATCGGATCTGTGTGGAAGTGTGAAATTCCGAGCCGGCGGCGATGCAGTTTTGTTGATATGTTCTGTTGATTTCCATTGTTTTCATCGCGTTCAGGTGCGGATTTACTGATTCGCTTTTCTGTGTGTGTGTGTGTGTGTAAAGTTAAGGAAGCGAGGCAGAAAGGAGGATGAGTGAGTACAAGCGGTTTCAGCTCGGCACCATTGGGGCTTTGAGCCTCTCTGTCATTTCGTCTGTGTCAATTGTGATTTGCAATAAGGCGCTTATGAGCACTCTGCGGTTCAAATTTGGTGAGTCAATTTTGTTAATTAATCTCTCATCCTAGTGCAAATTCGTCAGTCTCTGCTCCGTTTATGAAATTCTGAAGAGAAAAAAACATGCTAGAAACAGACAATATAACATCACTTTCCTCTTCTGGAAATTGTGGAGCTCTTATAATTAACACTAATTAACTTGGTGGTGGTTTTACTAATCTTCTTAGTGGAATTTCATTAGTCTCTGCTTTGTGCATGTAATTCTTGTAAATACTTGGTACAAACAGACAAAGGGATCTGTGAGCATGACATTTTTTTTCTGGAAACTGTAGAATGTTCATTATTGAAGTTAATGTATTTGTACTTGTATACGAATGAGCTGGTGGATGTATTACTAACCTTTAAAGGTATTTATTTGTTATTTGGTCTTAAAATTGGTTGCAATGTGGTAGCTTAGGACTCGATTCAAAGTTTTGTTGCAATTGTGATTTCATTTCTAGTTGGGGTAAAAAAAAGTAATCTTTTATGAGATTTGCAAAGTGCACACTCATCATATAATATGACTAATGGATGATATTTGTGTTAGCTTTCGCTTATTCGATTCTCCAGACGGGATGGCTGCTATCTTTCCCAAGTGTGTCATGATGTCATACAAATTAATGAACTTCTAAATCACTTTTTTTTCTTACACAGCTACAACTTTGACAAGCTGGCATTTATTAGTTACATTTTGTTCACTCCATGTTGCACTCTTGCTGAAACTGTTTGAGCATAAGTCTTTTGATTCAAGAACTGTTGTTGGATTTGGTATTCTAAATGGCATCTCAATTGGATTGCTAAATCTTAGTCTTGGTTTCAATTCTGTGGGTTTCTATCAGGTATGACCTAATTTATCCAATCTCCGTCTTTGTTTTGATTTTTGAATGCAAGACCTACACTACTTAGTAGAATTGTTTCTGAATCCAAACTTTACACAACTTTTTCTCTTAGATGACGAAGCTTGCCATCATCCCTTGCACTGTACTACTTGAGACACTTTTCCTGAGCAAAAAGTTCAGGTCAGTCTTTTATGGTGCTGAATGAAGTTGATTTCGTGTTTCCATATGTCTGCTACGTTTCAAAGGTTATCATGAACTATCTTGAAGTTTGGATCCTTTTTGAAAATGAATCTGGAATTCTTTTTGCTAATATGGAGTATGCTATTTTGATAACTAATCACATGATATCATTTTGTTTGGGGATCATCTAGAGCAATGATAAGTTATCAACCAAGTTGAGGGATGGTGTAGGGGTTGTTACATGATGAGTGCATGGAATAGATAACTTAGATGTATCGGTAAAACCGTACAATAAAACTGATTAATTGTAACCCTAAATTTCATCCATAAGTTATCAACCAAGTTGACTATCTGGATGGTGTCGGGGTTAAATGATGAGTGCATGGAATAAATCACTTAGATGTATCGGTAAAACCGTAAAATAAAACTGATTAATTGTAACCCTAAATTTCATCCAAGTGGTGAAACTAGATGTGAAGGTAGCATTTCTTGTGGATATAACCATGTCTTATACGGAGTATGAAAGTAATTAGGATTCTTAATTCTACCTCACTATCATGTCTGTGCTTGTAGTATGAAACATTTCTTTTGTTTATTAACTAATTTGTTTTGGTCAATTGCCACTCTAACCAATACGGAATATTTCTGTTGTTATAACTACAGTAGGAGCATTCAGCTTTCTTTGTTCATATTACTACTCGGTGTTGGGGTTGCAACTGTAACTGATTTGCAGCTAAATGTGCTGGGCTCGATCTTGTCACTCCTCGCAGTACTCACAACTTGCATTGCGCAAATTGTATCCTTTGTCATTTTTGAATGTCCTTAGTTATCTCCATGTGTGCTTTAACATTGAGTTTCAAAACTTTATACACAGTAGTAATCCCAGTTTCAACTATCAACTCTTTTTCGAGGGTCAGTAATCATGATATCATCTTTGTATTTAGCTAGTAGCCTAAAAAGGAAGACAAGACAATTACATGGTTTTTTGTCAATTAAACGTGTTCCTTAAATTTGACGGGTTGGAACTTGGGACATGTAGACAACTAAATTGAGACGGGGAGTATATTTTTATTTCTCAAACCTGAAGAGTTTGAAGTGCATACCCCTATTGTTTTCTAGGTATTAAAAGTAACATGCAAATGAATCACATATGGCAGTCTTAACATGTTTTATTTCATCGTTTCGCTAATTGGACAATCATTTGTGAACAAAATTTCTTTACGTAATGGAGAGTTATTTAACACTGCAGGAGGGAGTGACTTTGAATACTAGACCATTATGATAAAAATTGATTTAGCTCTACATTAGGTTATGGGCACAACTTCACATGCTCCTGTGGTACTGCAATAATTTATTGTGAAATAGTTCTTAATAAGCTTCATTCAGATGACAAATACCATTCAGAAGAAGTTCAAGGTTTCTTCAACACAACTTTTGTATCAAACATGTCCTTATCAAGCAATGACTCTATTCGTCTCCGGTCCATTTCTGGACAAGTTTTTGACAAACCAAAATGTATTCGCTTTCCAATACACCCCGCAAGTGCTGGTATGCTCTACAAGTTTCTATTCTACAAATTTTCTCTCTTTAAGCAATAATTTCATATCTAACAATCGACATTCAATATTTCAGGGATTTATTGTTATGTCCTGCTTGATATCTATATCTGTTAACTTTAGCACCTTCCTTGTGATCGGAAAGACATCGCCGGTCACCTACCAGGTTCTTGGACATCTGAAAACATGTCTAGTATTGGCGTTTGGCTATGTACTACTTCGTGATCCGTTTAACTGGAGGAATATTCTTGGGATCCTGATTGCTATGTTCGGGATGGTTCTCTATTCATATTACTGCACTCTTGAGGGTCAGAGAAAGGCTACAGAACCCTCACCACAACAACTTCAGGTACTATCGCTTCCTTATTCTTCTTTCCAAATCATTTATTTGAAATTCGCTAAGCATTGGTCATTAGTCAAGCACTTGAAGAACACCTAGGGTTTCTAGCCTTCTTGTTGGTCTAATGTGAGAATGTGGTTGTGATGTAATGTCCGAGTAAATTTGAAGGAAATACAAAGGCCCTGGTGGGCTAACGTTTGCCTTATGGTGCCTTTTAGCGAATTTAAAGTTGTTTTTGGGAAAGCATTAGGAACCAAAAAAGAGCTTTAAAAAAATGCAAACGCAATCCCAAATGGGCTCTAAGAATCTAGTTGCGTTCCTAGCTCGTCTAGAAGCGCATTTTTCAAGACCTATTTTTGGAACAATGTTTGCAGTTAAGTATTGTTCATTTTGAAGCACGCAATATTTTGATATCCCACTTTACTAACTCATATGTAACTGCAAATGATACAGCCAAAGGAAGGTGAAACAATTCCACTAGTACACTTGGAAAATGGCAGTGCCCGTCACAAATGATGTGAATATATGCACACCGTCTTTGAAAAGTTGAGCAGATGAGTAAAGCTACGACGGTCTAAGTTCTTGCACAAGTACATGAATATATGGTTTAAGGCGTCACTATATCTGAGAGGGAGAAAGTTGTTTCATAGATCGAGGTAATGAGTACCCAGAGGAACAACTTTTTTTTTGAAGTTAGAACATTTGGCATCACGATGCAATGCTTATGGGTTTTTTTTAAATTTATTTCCGTAAGGTACGATAAGCTTAGCTTGTTTGAGCTATGTGTTCATTCTCTATTGAGGAAAGGTTTTAATTCATAAGTGAAATATTGTGTTTTATCATTAGTTGTCGAAAAGGGTTTAATTTTCCATTGCAATCTCTTTTACAACGTTCTTCTTAGACGCGGTTTTGTCATTGTTAATTACTACTACTTTTACAACATGCTTCTGGAAAGTGATCGGCAGCTGATTGTGATATAGCTTGTAGTTAGATATTGACATAATGCCCGAAATGAGGACACTAGATAAAAATGTGTCTCGGCCACCACGGTAGAATTTTGTTCCACATCTACGACTCGATGTTAATTTATTTTATTACGGAGTATTAGCTTAGAAAAAAGGATGAGCCCTATCCCTCTAGGCCCGGTCGGACGATCAATGCACTTGATACTTGCAGAAGCTGTATGCTTAGTATAATTGTCTCTCAGCACCGTTGCTAAAAATCAAACTCAGGTATTATCCTTTGGTACTCTTTTCTTTTTCCGGCTGCGCAATGCCAATCGGCGAAGTATTAGCTTCTTGATATGAGGTGTGAAATCAAGTATTGCAAGCATGAAATCATTCCATTCCATGATATACAAACATCTTCGTGACACTCCAAAATCTACTACTACTACTACTACTCGGATTACTTGGGATTACTCTTGACTCTTGAGCATAAAAGCTAATATCTCAATGAATGCATCATTTGGAGTTTGACAGATTAAAAACTATTGGTAATATTGATGAAAACTACGATTTTAGATTTTGGTACTTTGATGCTACTTTTAGCCTTTTTAATTTTCAAAATTTCTCATAAATCAATGAATTTTTAGCAATCATTTACCTCTTAACTTTTCTAAAAGTTGCATAGATTCATCTTGAACTTAAATTACATCAATGTTCTCTAAACTTTTCAAAAATTGCTCAGATGCACCTTGAACTTTAATAATTGTACCAATGTCTCGAACTTTTAAAAATATTACATCAATTGTGCCTTTTGTGCCAGATCTCAAAAGCATTAATTTAATGTTTTTCAATATATGTGTTGGAGTTTGATAAAGATAAAGAGGTTGATCAAATGATGACGAATTTTATCGACTATTGCCCGTCCTTCAAATTTCGTCATCGATGACTAAATAAAAAATAATTATCTATGGTTTAAACTTTAAAAAGGTTAAAAGTATATACTCTCTCCGTCTCAAAAAGATCTACCCGTTTCATTTTTTGTGCATCCCATAAAACATTTCTAGCCACATCTAAAATTCCTAAAATTTACCACATTTACCCTTTATTGTGGATAGAAATTGTTTCTTTAAAAAAATTTGACATTTGAGACAAAATAAAAATGTTTTATGGCATGGACAAAATATGAAATGGATAGATCTTTTTGGGACAGAGGGAGTATAAGATAATGGGAAAGGTATATTTTATAACTCACATTTGATATATGACTTTAGATTAATCTATATTTGCACTGGATGAGCGTGCGATTAACGCATTCCCAAATCTACTCTAATTAAACACACTTCAACCCAAACTTTCATCAATTCTTCTCCAAAAAAATACTTCTCTATTTACAAAATGTTTTTAAATTAAATTAATATTCTAAATAAAATGTTATAAAACTAACATTTAAAAAAATAAAAAAGAATAAGGTTAGAATGAGGATGACACACCAGAATGGGGATGAAATACAGAATGCTGATGTGACACTGAGATGAAAGTGAGAATGGTGGGAATGCTGATGATGGTACTCAATAGTCTAAGGTCATGTTCTCTTCGCCTGATTTGAATGATTCTGATCAAATTGGAATAAAATCTGATATGAATGTAGTTATGTTTAAAACCGATTCTGATATAATTCCAATAAGAAAAAAGTATGGAGTAATAAGTAATAATAATAAGTTGAAGAGAACATGATCTAAGTAGAAAGTATACACTATTTCATTTGTCCCTATTTTATGCTCACAGTTTAAGTTTTCAGGGAGTTTAACAAAAATAAAATTATATAATTAAAAATAACATAGAACAAAATAAGTTTCAAGTCTCCTTTAATTGTTGCGTGAAAGTTACGGAGGAGTATATATTATTGTGCCCTTATATAAATCAAGACAAACCCAATAGGATGAACCCCTCAAGAAGAGCCCAGAAAGAAAAAGAAATGAGGCAGGAGAGAGATGTGGTGTCTTCTTCAAAAGGGTTGTTTTGCCCCTTTCTCCTTCGCCTGTGATTTCTTCCATCTTCATCCTTTACCGCCCGCCAAACAACCCTTTTATCTCATTCTTTCCTACCGAAAGAGAAACTAGCTATGCATATATATATATATATATATATACATACATATATACACGCACACACACATACTCCGTGCATGATATACTACTAGTACTTCATTTCTTCTGCTCTGTTGATCTGTTCTGTTCTTTTCTGCTGTCCCTGTTTTTACGGAAAAAGAAAACCTTTGATGAGGCTGTGATGATGATTCTCCGCTCTGCTTCTCTCTCTCTCTTTCTGGGCTTCTCGACATTTGGGATGACCCGACCCGTATCTTGGCGTGGCAATCCGGAATTTGCAGCCATGGCGGCCAGGGCTTTCAGATTCGTCACGTGGAGAAGTAGATCTGAGCCTCAGCGTCTCCCGAATTCGTGTTCTTGGAAAAATGGGTTGGGCGTCGGTATGATTCTGACCCGTATCTTTGCGAGGCAATTACTACTGTTTGTTTGATTGCGAATTGCGTGGTAATTTATTGGGTTTGTTGTTGTTGTTGTTGGACAGGAAAAGGTTGGAATTTCTGAGATTGTCCTCCCCAATTAGAATACGAACCATGCTACACTTGCACCAAAATTGTGCACCCCCTTGGGGTACAAATAGCTTTATCCAAAAAAGAATTATTACACTTGGGCTTTGTTTGGTTCTGATGAGTAAGGTCTTGTTTCGGAATAGAGTTAGCGTTTAAGATAAAATTTTAATGGTGTAGATTAATTCTCAAAACGCTAATGCTAAATGCTACCGTTGGATAACCTTTTCAAATGATAATGCCAAACGGAGCCTAAAACTCATCAACAACCATTGGTGATGTAGATATAATGGAGTTGAGTCAAACCTCTCCACAAGGTTCATTTATATATGAAGGCTTGATTTGTATAGCAAGCTAAACCCGAAACCTTGAACCCTTAATTTTCGGCTGTGATGATTAACTGGTTTCTAAACAAGAATTTGGGTTTTTTACCCCCTGGCGTGGTAGCTTTTCTTGCAGCCATGGTGGGTTCAACCTTACTTCTCGTATTATATAAGAGATAAGTTGAATCTGAGCCACTTTGTTTATTAAGGAGTAGGTTCCAATGCACTCTTTGGTCTTGTTTGGGACCAATGTTTTTAATTAACGTTTTAGATCATTTCTTAGAGCTTGTTTGGGAGTGATTAACTTTTGGATAAATTGATTTTCACAAAAGCTGAAAGCAAAAGCACCTCAAACTTGCTTTTCCAAAATGGTGTTCTGTGTACAAAACAGTGATGGTGAAAAATAGAAGAGAGAAAGTAAATTGTAAACTAGACTTTAATTATGGGTTTGTGGCAAATAGTGGAGCATGCACCTGCCACCTCGTAGTTGCAAAGACTCTTTGCTTACATAGTTACCTCCCAACGCAATTTCTAGGAATAGAACTCGGGTCTAACTTTGCAGAGATGTATTGGATTTTTCAAGGGTGGTTGCCATCTCTGCAAGCAGCCAATGACCTCATTTGTATGAGGAAACAGTCAAAACAGCCCTTTTGTATTGAAATATTTGCACTAAATAGCACTAAAACTTAAATCATTTCTCTAAATAGAAATTAAATTGTTTTATTCCCTAAATAGCACCTAATAATGTTCATAATGTCCAGTAATGATAAATATTTACTTGAATAATGACTAATGCATAATGACTAAAAGTGCTACATTGGGAAGAAAAACACATGTGGTGCTATTTAGAGAAAGTCATTATGTTTTACACATCCAACCATGCATACATATATTGGTTTCTGACTCTTAAGTTGTGTTGCAAGGAATGACACTTGCATTGTTAAAGAGGCTGTGACGATATACATTTTTTCTATGACAATTATGTAGATGGCTATATTCCATTAGTCCGGCGTGGCAATATCAGAGGGTCTGGATGACGGGGTCAGACATGTTCTTTCTCCAGTTTTCTAAAGGCAACTGATGCTTGCAGCCTGGCATGTTTAGCATTTTTTCTTGATTAAATGGGCGAAAATCTGAGCCTCGCTATTTCAAAGAACAAATATGTTTGTGTTTTTAAATGAGGGTGGTTTTGGGATTTCTGGGAGTCGTAATTTCTCAACTGTTTAACCATCATTTGCCTGTTACTAACAGCCATATTAGAGTTTAGATCTCTCCAAACGCTTCCATCAAGTCTTTTTTTTTCTTAACCTTATTTGTTTTTTGTTTAACCTTATCTGTTTTTGATTTTTAACCTTATTTGATTTTGTGTTCACATATGAAATTTCATTCATCAGTGTTCTATTTGACCATACATTTCTTTTCTTTTTGCTTCTTCTCTTACGTTATCCTTCCCTTTATTTTCCTCTGGATTCTTTATCATATGTATATTAGGACTTGCGGAATTTGTATAAAAGGCAAGTTGATCTCTCATAATTTTGGGCCACCAACATCTTTTTCGCTTTTTTTTTACTTTTCCATGTTAGAATACAGTTTCTTCAATTGCAGAGGTTGAAGATAAATCAGTTACATATGAACACTTATGAGAGACAAGCAGTGAATGGAGGAAGGCAAGTGTAATTGGAGGAGCACAACTTTGAGTTTTCAAGTCTCAAGAGAAAAGACACGAACATGTCCCAAATCTTTGCTAGTTTGCTTAGTTATTTAATGTTCTGATCTGTTTTTGTGTCCATTGACATTGTGAGCTGTTTTAATGGTTACTAGACTAGAAAGAGTGAAAAACTACTTGCAATATTGAATTTAGTATATATATACATATATATATACACACACGCGTGTGCGCACATACTCCATATATGATATACTACTAGTACTTCATTTCTTCTGCTCTGTTCTGTTCTGCTGCCCCTGTTTTTATGGAAAAAGAAAACCTTTGATGAGGCTGTGATGATGATTCTTCGCTCTGCTTCTCTCTCTCTTTCTGGGCTTCTCGACATTTTGGGATGACCCGACCCGTATCTTGGCGTGGCAATCCGGATTTTGCAGCCATGGCGGCCAGGGCTTTCCGATTCGTCACGTTGAGAAGTAGATCTGGGCCTCAACGTCTTGGCGAGACAATTATTACTGTTTGTTTGATTGTGAATCTCAGGAGCTTCTGGTGCTTGCAGCCATGGGTAAGATCTGCCTATGCCCTTGAGATTTTCTTCATGGATTAAGCTATTTGTACCCCAAAATTTGTGCACTTTTTGGTGTAAGTGTAGCATGGTTGTTTCTTCATAGAATCAAACTTCATTCACTTTTCATATTATTCTGCTCTAATTCTTAAATAAATTGTATTGAAAATCACTTCAGTCAAACATCCTTAATCGATGCATCCAATTTAAATTGGAAAAGTGGGAGCTCAATGAAAAATTGCGTAGTAACTTATTGGGTTTGTTGTTGTAGGACAGGAAAAGGTTGGAATTTATGAGATTGTCCTCCCCAATTACAGAAAAGAATTATGACACTTGGGCTTTGTTTGGTTCTAATGAGTAAAACTCATCAACAACCATTGGTGATGAAGGCCTTGTTTGGGATTAGCGTTTCTGATTAGCATAGGGTTTTGGATAAAATTTTAATAGTATACAATTTTAATGGTGTAGATTGCTTTTGGAAACGCTAAGAACAGATACTACACTTGATCTTAGCCAAAAGGCAGAGAAAGGTATTAATTCTGGAAACGCTAATGTTAAAGGATATTGTCGAATGGTCTTTTCAAATGCTAATGCTAATCTCTAATGCTGATGCCAGACGGGGTTGTAGATATAATGGAATACAGTCAAACCTCTCTACAAGATTCATTTATATATGAAGGTTTGATTTGTACATCAAGCTAAACCCAAAACCTTAAACCCTTAATTTTCGGCTGTGATGATTAACTGGTTTCTAAACAAGAAATTGGGTTTTTTACCCCCTGGCGTGGTAGCTTTTCTTGCAGCCATGGTGGGTTCAACCTTACTTCTCGTATTATAAGAGAAAAGTTGAATCTGAGCCACTTTGTTTATAAGGAGTAGGTGCCAATGCACTCTTTGGTCTTGTTTGGGACCAATGTTTTTAGGGTCCGTTTGGTATACGGAATTGACAGAATTGGAATTGAATTGGAATTTAAATTCCATGGGATTCAATTCCATAGAATTGAATTCTGCCAATTCCAATTCATTTTTTGCACAATCAATTCCAAATCCACATAATTTTTGTGCTACCAAGCACCAGAATTGGAATTGAAGTTCTCAATTCCAATTCCATAGTTTGAATGCCGTGTACCAAACAGGGCCTTAATTAACATTTTAGGTCATTTCTCAATGATGCAAAGCAACTTTAAAAGTGTACTAGTGTTAAGAATTGTCATTAGATTTTAGCTTCTTTTTTTCAAAACATTGAAGCTACACCTCGTAGTTGCAAAGGCTCTTTGCTTACATAGTTACCTCCCAACACAATTTCCAAGAATAGAACTCGGGTCTAACTTTATTTCACCGCAGAGATGTGTTGGAGTTTTCAAGGGTGGTTGCCATCTCTGCAAGCAGCCAATGACCTCATTTGTATGAGGAAACATTCCAACAGCCCTTTTGTATTTTTACACATCCAACCATGCATACATATATTGATTTCTGACCATGTCTCTTAAGTTGTGTTGCAAGGAATGACACTTGCATTGTTAAAGAGGCTGTGACGATATACATTTTTTCAATGACAATTATGTAGATGGCTATTCCATTAGTCCGGCATGGCAATATCAGAGGGTCTGGATGACGGGGTCAGACATGTTCTTTCTCCAGTTTTCTAAAGGCAACTGATGCTTGCAGCCTGGCATGTTTAGCTTTTTTTCTTAATTAAATGGGCGAAAATCTGAGCCTCGTTATTTTAAAGAACAAATATGTTTGTGTTTTTAAGCCATCCAACTCCACTTGTATCCCAAATGGGGGCTGGTTTTGGGATTTCTGGGAGTCGTAATTTCTCAACTGTTTAACCATCATTTGCCTGTTACTAACAGCCAATTGTTTAGATCTCTCCAAACACTTCCATCAATTCTTTTTTTGCCCACCAAACGGATCTTTAGGTGGAAATCAAGTCTTGTTTACAAAAGAAGCAAAGATTCCTTTTAGTGAAGGAAGGCTTGCTTTGTGAGTGGTATTGAAAACACTCTTTTTTCTCCATTTTACTGGAATCCGAAGTTGATTTTCTCTCATTGCCAAATCCTACAACTGGGGATTCTGAGACTGAGTTCTTATGGTTGTGATTCTGAAGAGGCTGTGAGCATGACTGAGCTCAGTTAATCTGGGGCACTTGGAGGACTTGATCTGTATCAGGTAACCATACATTTCTTTTCTTTTTGCTTCTTCTCTATATTACCCTTCCCATTATCTTTTCCTCCTGTTTTTCGGATTCTTAATTAAGACATGCCGAATTTGTATATGAGACAAGGTAATCTCTCATAACTTTGGACCACCAATATCGAGCGTGGTTAGACAACGTTAAGCTCTTAATCGTAAATTTTTTATTCCGGCTGTGACGTTTATTTTGTCCTAGCGTTTTTTTTTTCAAATTTATTTTTGGTCGGGTATACTTTTCCATGTTGGAATACAGATTATCCAATTGCAGAGGTTGAAGATAAATCAGATAATTGGAAGCAGTGATTGGAGGAAGGCAAGTGTAATTGGAGGAGCACAATTTTGAGTTTTCAAGTCTCAAGAGAAAAGACACGAACATGTTGTCCCAAATCTTTGCTAGTTTGCCCTAATTTAATGTTCTGATCTGTTTTTGTGTCCATATTGACATTGTGAGCTGTTTTAATGGTTACTGCATTTCTCAATAGTTGTGACTTTAGAAACAGTGAAGTACTACTTGAAATGTTGAATTTAGTACATTGACAACACAACTATGCATTTGTTAATAACTGTATTTTGTTCTAGCTTTTGTAAAATTTATTTTTTAAAAAAAATTGCTCCAATCCTCTACTCCATCCGTCCTAAAATTAACTTCTCATTTGATTTTTTACGGTCTCTAATGCAACACTTTGACCATTAATATCTTAATTTTTATATAAATATATTTTATAAAAATTATATATTTCAAAACTGTGTTTCAAAATGAATCTATTGCTAATAAATTTATATGAAAATTCAATGTATTTTTTCTATAATATACGGTCAAAGTTTAAAAAATTTGACTACAAAAGTCAAATCTGGGAAGTTAATTTTAGAACGGAGGGAGTAATAAATTGCAATGAAAATTATTTCAGTCAAGTAAACTAGAGCACAAAGTTTAAATTGAGAGAGGAGTACAAGATATTGTTTATGGGCAGGCGTGGTTTGTGACGTCTGTGATATTATCAAAATTTAAATTGAGACGGAAGGAGTACAATAAATTGCCATGAAAGGAAGCTTCATGAAGAGCTTCGATGAAGGACTAAGATCTGGAAGAAGCTTGATTTTATTTTTAAAAGAAGGAGAACTAGTTTGGTTTTTAATTTAAAAACAAGATTTGAATCCAGATCTGAAACCAAGAAGAACTAAGATCTTGAACGGAGGAGAAGCTTCGTTGCCGCTGCCCCTTTCCCCTCTTTTTTCCCTCACCGTCATCTAAAGATCCGTCCAAAGGAAGATGAAAAAATGAAGGACGCAAAAAGGAAGCAGCAGGAAAGGATGAAAAAAATATGAAGCTAAGGGAAAGCTGAAAAGGGGAAGACTAAAAATGGAGAAGACGAAGAGGAAAGGAAAACAGGAAAGTAAAAGAAAGAGACTTGGCTAGGTATGGAAAGAGGGAAAAAGAAAAAATAAGGGGTAAATAAGTCTTTTTAGTACTCTTTCCGTCCCATTTTAAATCGTCTGTTTTGACTTTTAAGCATATTTAAGGAAAAGAAAAAATATAATTGATTTTTCGAAATTGTCATTACTTTTTAGAAGGGGGGACTGAATTAGAATATAAGGTGAAGAAAGATGACTCATTTTAGGGGTAGTTTATGTATTTTATTTTTAAAAATTTACGATAACAACTAACAGGCAACTTATTTTTGAACTGAGAAAAAGACAAACATGCAATTTAAATTGGAACAGAAGGAGTATATTTTATTTGCAAAATAAGAAAATGAGAAGAATCAAATGGAAAACAACCCCAAAAGGAAAATGAAAAAAAAAGATATGAGAGAGAGGGAGTAAAATCATATACAAGAACAGCTGAAATTTGTATTCACATCACAAAGTCACAACTCTAGCAAATATACACATCAAAACAGCTCACAGTGTCAATGGAATTAAGATCAATACATATTTGTGTCTTTCCTTCTCTTGAGACTTGAAAATTAAAAATTGGACTCCTCCCATTACACTTGCCTTGCTCCATTCACTGCTCGTCTCTCATACGTGTTTGTATGTAACTGGTTTATCTTCAACCTCTGCAATTGAAGAATCTGTATTCTAAGATGGAAAAGTATACCTGACAAGAACTCCGGAAAACACGAGAGAAGACAATGGGAAGGATAACGTAAAGAAGAAGCAAAAAGGAAATGTATGGTTATATAATACTGATGCATGAAATTTCACATGTCAACCAAAAAAACAGATAAGGTTAACCACAAAAAACATATGGGGTGAAACAACTTTACTTCTAATAAACCCATAAAACAACATGAGAGGAAAATGAGGGCTGGTGGTCACTAACATTCTTCAAAACTGGAGGAAACCAATGGCCGGTAGGAGGGAAAAAACCACTCTAATAGATTTAGTGACAAAAATGAATTTATCCAAATTTTAATGAACTTATCCAAATTTAAAGTCAGGTTCATAAATCACAAATTCCACAAGCAATTTGGCATCATCATGATGGATCATCATCCAGCAAAGAGACAAAACTAGACCAATGTTGTATTATGTTGCCTTCTAAGAATCAAGGATCGCTTCTTAAGGCACACCATGGGCACTGTTTGCTCTTCATTTGGTTAGACACAGAAAAGGCAGCTTCGCAACAGACTATTATTAGTCTGTATTTAGTCTGTAAAATCGGGTGTTTGCTTTTCTTTGCAAAATATATTTTTCAGGTGTGTATTTTGGACACCCCGCATATGAATTAACTTTGTGTGTCATGGTATGTATCCTATAAAAACAGGTAATCCTGATCTTAGATGTGAAAATCAAATAAAAAGAACAGTGACTAATGCTTGTCTTGAACATGAACTGATCAAAAGACTGGTGTTTCAGGCATATCTTCCAAAATATAGAGATAATAGAAGATCTGTCGGATAGTGTTTATCTTTGGAACAAAAACAATTGAAAGTTGTGTTTCATATCTGGATAATTGAAATTGTTAAAGGACTCAAACTTTAGACCAACCTTTCAGTTAGATTAAAACTATTCCTCAGCGTCCAAAAAAATTTGATTTTTGTTTGAAAATGTGATATAGTTATGAAACACCTTTGATTTCATTCTCTTAGTACATGAGGCTCAGAATAGCTGCAGAGACAACCTATGGCTGCAAGAAAACATATGCCACGCCAATATAGGCCTTGCCTCAAAGATATGTTTTTATTTTTATATAAAACATAATAAAAACATCATCACAGCCCCAAAAGTGAATATTATGGTTACTAGCATTCAGGCAATGCATGCATTTCTGTAATAAGGAGTATTATGATTAGTACACCCCCGTCTCAAAATAACCAAAACTGCATATATGCAATGTAATAGTCGGATCAAAACAGAACTAAGATTGATCATCGTTTCATTGGTGTTTAGGGTTGTTGAATTAATCATCAGCTGAAATGAAATGAATAGAGCCAAATTGAAGCTAACCAGATCAGACGAATAGAATGGAAGCTAATCAAATCACACGAAGAGAACATGCTCTTACTATTATAGTGAGGTTTGCGGATGGTACATGTCATACATCACACGAACATTTTATAAAAATACATCTTATTTCATGAGGCTCAAATTACATTTAACAATCAAAAATAACACAAGGACATTTCACCATAATGGCTGCAAGAAAACAACTGCCATGCCAAGATAGTGGTGGCCTGAAATAATCGGACTTCTATTATATAATAACGAAATGATCATCACTGCCTCAAGTTTGAATAGTATGGTTTTAGGCAT